AAAAAAAAAAAAAAAAAGTTTATCATGGTCATTTAAATATAAGATTGGGGGGGTACCAGGGATTGAATTTAGGACCTTGCACTTGCAAAGCAGGCAATGGAACCACTGAGCTAAATCCCTAGCCTAAATATAAGATTTTAAATGGCATGGTGGTACATGCCTGTAGTCCCAGATGAGGCAGGGAGGCTGAGGCAGGAGGAGAATTTGAGGTCAACCTGGATGACATAGTGAATTCAAGTCCAGACTGGCCTATATAGTGAGGTCCTGCCTAAAAAAAGAAAAAAGAAAGAAAAAGGAAAAAGAAAAACAACAAAAAGTTATAAGCCTCAGTGTGAGATCAGCAGTCTGATACACTGCTGTTAAGAACACTTGACCTCCATAATTATATATTGAGCAATCTCCCCTAAAGGTGGTAATTAGAAAGGAAGATATAGATCTATACTGAACTCCTAAATAGCAAACACTAGATATCTACTTTGGGGGAAAATAAAACCCTAAATTTCAAATGTTAGAGGAGGACTGGGATTTAGCTCAGCGGTTCTGGCACCTGCCTTGCAAGCGCAAGGGCCTGAGTTCAATCCCTGGTACCAAAAAAAAAAAAAAAAAAAAGTATGTGAAGGTGTGTTCATATAACATGTAATATTAAGCAATTAACAAAAAGTTTGAGATTTTTTTATGACATGGATCATTTATAATATGATTTTAAGGAAAAAGTTTCTTGCTTAGAGGTACAGTGCTTATCTAGCATGCATGAGGCCCTGGGTTAGATCAACAGCACAACAAAGAAAAGCCGAGGCTGAGGATAGTGGGTATAGGTCTGTGGTAGAGCCAAAGAGGAAACCCTGTATTTGATTCCCAGTACTGGGGAGTGGGGTAGATACAAAACTTTTTATTTCGAGACAGGTCTCAAGATGTAGTTCAGGCTGGCCTTGAATTCATGGTCACCCAGGCTAGTCTCAAACTCAGCAATCTTCCAGCCTCAGTCACCTGAGTGCTGGGATGACAGGCGTGCCTCACCACCCCTCGCACAACTGTGTTATAGGATGAGCTCAACTGTACTTTTAAAAAAACCTAGTATCAGGAGACTGAGGCAGGAAGATCTCCATGAGTTCAAGGCCATCTTGAGCAATACAATGAGTTCAAGGCCAGCCTGAACTACACAGCGAGACCTTGTCTCAAAAATTAAATAATAATTTTAAAAACCTAGCAATCACCCGGGAAGAAAGTAATTCAAAATATTGACAGTGCTTGTCTTCGGGGGTGAATTTCCGGGTGATTTTTAGAAAAACATGCCAAATGTTACCATTATGATTAAAATTTCAAAAATCCAGGGGATAGTCCAGTTTTCAGAATGAAATCAATCGGCAGAACTGAGGTGCTGCAAATGCGACTGCCACTCACTGCTAGGCCTTCTCCCGCCTCTCCCTGGTTCCTACTCACCACCCTCGAGGGTGCAGCCTCACCTTTCAGAGCCTCCTGGATGTACTTCTCCAGGTAGTACTTGCGGAGCCGGTCGTTTTCCCGCGCCTGGTCGTCGATGCCGCTGGCGGTGATGTAAACGTCCACGTCGCCGTAGTGGCCGCGGATCCAGCGCAGCAGCTTGCGCGCGCCCGAGGGCAGCACGGCCAGGCGCGTGGGCGAGCTCAGGCGGGTGATGTCCTGCAGGAACTGCACGTCGCGGTCCGCATCGTAGCTGCTGCCCCTCTGCTGCTCGTGCATCACGAACCTGGTGGTGAAGTGGTTCAGGGCATAGAAGTCGGCGGCGCCCTTGACCAGCCTGCGCTCGGCCTGGCTGAAGCGGGGCAGCACGGAGCCTGAGAGCCCGCGCCGGTTCCGGGACGCCAGGTGCTCCCGCATGGCCCGCGGGTAGTCCCCGGTCCCGAAGAGCGGCTCTGCGAACCAGGCGATCTCGAACTGCAGGAAGCGTTCGGCTGCCTTCCAGTGCGAGTCCACGAAGGGGTTGGCTGGTTCCGCCCAGTCCGAGTGCAGGGACAGCGACACGGCCCCGCGCTGGGACGCCCGGTACCGCCGGTCGTAGAGGTGCCAGGCCAGCGCGTGGGCGATCAGCAGGTTGTGCGCCGCCTGGTAGGCGTCGTTACCGGTGCGGTTGTAGATGTCGCTCAGCCGGTTGGGCTCATTGATGGTGATCCAGAGCCTCACCAAGTCCCCCAGCTCCTGGAAGCACAGCCCTGCGTAGTCCTGGAAGGCCTGGGCCGTGGATGGGTTGAGCCAACCCCCGCCGTGCAGCAGCGGCCTGGGGAGGCCCAGGTGGGCGTGGGTCGGGTAGTACAAGGTGACCATCGGGGAGATGTTGAGCTTCAGGCCCTCGCTGACCATACACCTGTAGTACCTTAGAACCTGTCGGTTAACCGAGGTCAGGTTGCCAGTGGGGAGGACGGAGGCCCAGTCCAGAGCGAACCGGAAGTGGGTGACTTTCATTCTGGCCAGCATCTCCAGTTGCTTTTTGATGCTGATAAAATCTGTGCATTGAGCCTTCCGCGTTTTCAGCGTTACCCCTTTGACCCGCTGCAGCCGTCTGTTTCCCGTGGCATTCCACACATACAGGCTGGGATCTGTGAACTGCGGGGAGGAGGCCATGAGCTCGGGCTGCGGAAAGAAGCACACTCGGGTGAAGCTTGCGCGGGACGAGGGCGGCTCTTCCTATACATCCTTTGAGAGGAAGACGCTGCCTCTCCACGAGATAGATAGAAAATAAATGGTGCACCTGTCCTTCCTGATGACCTGTGTGTTCCGGCTGCTCGCCTAGAGAATTGCCCTCCTTGCCAGCCCTTAGAATCTCCAGGGAGACCAGGAAACACAGGGAAGGAACCACATTCAGGGCTCAGCTTGGAAAACAAGTTGTTTCAGAAGAGACTGAGAAGCCGTTTTCCAGCTCACTTGAACTTTGAACCCAGGTCATATAGTGGGGTCGCATGTGATTCTGTTCAAATGTGTCTGGAAATTGGTTTAGTACCTTCAGTTAAAAGATTATGAAAGATGCATTTTAAGCCCCATCATAAAACGAAGGCAAAGGTAAAATTGGAGGAGGTTGGCACTTGGGGTTAGAGAGCAGGCTCGGTGACCCCAGGGACAGATCCTGTAAGAGGTGGTTTGGTGGGATGGGGGTGAGCTAAGGCATTTGCTAAATGCAACTTTCAACTCTCCCTGTTTCAAAAGTCTAAGCAATGTCACATTTGCATCCAGTATACAGCCTCCCAGGAGAACACAGCATTTATTCACCCAACAAGACAATAAGGAATGCTGTCTCTACACAAGGACAGCAAAATACCTGCAGAAACCTCCTAGGTTAACTAACACAGGGAGTCCTAGATTCCTGTCATAATGATCTGACCCTTTGAGCCTCAAGTTAGTCGCTGAACAGTGCTGAAGGTGCTGCACCTGCCATCCGGTTGTGTGGTGGCTCTGCGCTCTAGTAACTAAAGCACTGTATAAATATAAGGTAGTCAGGACTTGGGTTTCGTTTTCCCTGGTTACACTTAACATTCTGCTAGGCCCTTGAGTCTAAACTAAAAGGGTTTAAGAAAAATATTTGCCAGTTCAAGATTAATAAGGGCAAGCAAAAGTTCTCTTTTTGTCTGAAACTACTGTTTTTCCTTACAACTGATTTTTAAATGCACCAGGAGAAATGATAATTAACCTTTGGTAAATCTTTTCCCTGTAATTGTTTTCTCATGTGTCATCCTTCATAGCCTAATTGAAAAACCATATTACTGCCCACTTGCCATCTGCCGGCCCATTATCCAGGACATTAAACTTAGAGAACATTGATCATGTGAGCATGAAGTTAAATCTGTATATAATTCATTGTTTGAGTAAAATCCTCCTAGCGCCTCAATGGCTTGTTTCAATGTTTAAAAATCTCATATCATCACGGCTTTGAAAAGAGTATTTACAAACTGCAATCTTGCTATGACATAAAGCAAGATCAAATAAAATGTTTTACTTTTTTTGTTTTGTTTTGTATTTTTGACAGGGTCTCACTGTGTAGTTCAGACTGACTTTGTTTGTTTTGTTGTGTTTTTTGAGACAGGGTCTCGCTATGTAGTTGAGACTGACCTGGAACTCACTATGTAGCCCAAGCTGGTCTCTAACTCTCAGAGATCCTCCTGCCTCAGCCAACCGAGTGCTGGGATTACAGGTGTGTGCCACCACACCTGGCTCAGAATGGCTTTGAACTCAGTATGTGGTCCAGGCTGCCCCCTCACATTTTTTGGCAATCCTCCTACCTCAGCCTCCTGAGTGCTACCGTGCCTGGCTTTGTTTTACTTTTTTTTTTTGTACCAGGGATTGAATTCTGGTCCTTGCACTTGTGAGGCATGCGCCAAAACCACTGAGCCACATCTCCAGCCCTGTTTTACTTTTTAAAATCTCCAGAAAGTTGGGCCGGGATGTAGCTCAGTGGCACCATGCCTGCCTTGCAAGCACAACATCCTGAATTCAGTCTCTCCCACAAAGAAAAAGAAAAAGAAAAACATATCCAGAGAATAAATGTGGAAAGAATAATGTAATTAAAACTTCCTCTTTTTATGGACTACAAATAATTAAGGCAAGTTTCATGAATTTATATTGAAACCACTGGATAAATCATTGGGGAACAGGACATTCATATGGTCTTTTGTTGTTGTTTTTTTTTTTGGTACCGGGGATTGAACTTCGGTCCTTGCACTTGCAAGGCAGGCCCCCGAACTGCTGAGCTAAATCCCTGGCCCTTTTTTTTTTTTTTTTTTAAAGCAATTGTTTTTTGTTGTTGTTATTGTTGTGTTTTTCTGGTACCGGGGATTGAACTCAGGACCTTGCACTTGCCAGGTAGGTACAGCACCACTGAGCTACATCCCCAGCCCTCTCTATATAGTTGAAACTGACCTGGAACTCACTATGTAGCCCAGGCTGGTCTCGAACTCGCAGCGATCCTCCTACCTCAGTCTCCGGAGTGCTGAGATTACAGGCATGCACCACCACACCTGGCTATCTGGTCTGTTTTTTTTTTTTTTTTTTTTTTTTTTTTTTTGGTACCGGGGATTGAAATCGGGTCCTTGTGCTTGCAAGGCAGGCCATCGAACCGCTGAGCTAAATCCCCGGCACCTATATGGTCTTAATTTACCATCCAATCACTTCTCTTTTTTTCTTCTTCCTCAGACAAAGTCTTGCTATGTTGTCCAGGATGGTCTTAAACTTGTGGGCTCAAGTGACCCTCCTGGGCACATGCCACTGTATGCCCAACTGTCAGATTAGTTCTTAGGTAAAAATATCAGCCAGTCTGGTGGTGCACACCTATGATCCCAGCACTCTGGGAGGCTGAGGAAGGAAGATCAGAAATTTGAGTCCTGCCTGGACAGTTTAGTAACTTAGTGAGACCCTGTCTCAAAATGAAAAATAAAAATAAATGTTTTAAGTACTTCCATGATATTGTAATGATACAGGAGAATATCTGTGTTCTTAGCAGAGACATCTGAAATATTTCAGGGTGTGGTGTAATGATGGCTGAAACTTATCAGTGATTCATAAAAAGAGAGGTAGAGAGAAAGCAGATGTGGCAACATGCTAACAATAGGCCAATCTTGATTCAGGGAATATGTTTTTTATTTTACAGGTTTGAAATTTTTCAAAATAAAATGTTAGAGTAAAAAAGAAAACTAAGAGACTAGAAAAGATAAGATAGAGATATATGAGAATAGATCTAGTAATTTTTAAAATTTTAAAAATGTATTTATTTTGTTTTTTTGAAACAGGGTCTCTCACCATCTAGTGCAGGCTGGCTTTGAATTTGTGGCAGTCCTCCTGCCTCAGCCTCCCAGGTGCTGGGATTATAAACATGTACCGCCATATCCAGTTTGATCTATGAATATGTTTAAATGTTACAGTACTGTACTTTCATTTTGCCAATGCTCCTGTAGAGACCATCCAGTCTTCTGTTAACTCAGCATCCAGTTATGCATCTTTGTCTGATCTTCATTTTTTTCTTTTTCTTTATTATTATTATTATAACTGTTTTTTTGTTTTGTTGTGTTTTGTTTTTATTGAGACAAGGTCTCACTATGCAGTCCTGGTTAGCCATGAACTCACTATATAGCCCAAGCTGGCCCTGAATCTGTGGTGTCCTCCTGGTTCAGCTTCCTGAGTACTGGAATTACAGGCCCGTGCCACCGTGCCTGGCTGATGTTTTAAAAAGCAATCTAATACTTGTGGGCAAACCATTCATCCCCATTCTTAGTCCAAGTGACTTAATAGACCCTGACTCCTAGCCGGGTCCCAGAGGTGCATATGAACTGGAGACCCAGAAGGCAGCCTCTTCAGACTGCCTACAAGTTCTAGCCCATGACCGCCTATGAGTTCTGGCACTCTTTTCCTCTCTCCCAACCCCCCATTCGCAGCCTCAGAATAACCATGGTTTTGGGTATCTCTTAGCTGTCACTGTGTAAACGTAACAGGACATTGTGCGTTCTCTCTCCCCATTAATGGCTAATTTGGAAGTAGCCACTTACCTTAAGAACAGATTCGGTGACACCCCAGGAGAAGTCACAGGGAAACTGACCCTGCATATCAGGTGTGGACTCTTTTAATGGAAAGCCGTTTTCTTGTATGATCTCTTTATAGTAATGTGCTGAGGACTTGGGTTTCCTTTCTTTCTGTTTACTATTAAAATCCACATAAAATAGCCCTCGGCGGGTGGTGTAAGCATCCTGCCATTCAAAGCCATCCAGGAGAGACCAGGCAGTATAACCGAACACTTGTATTTCATCAAACCTTATGGCTGCAGAGAAAAGAAAGCAGACATGTTCTAAGGGTGGAACATTCTAGTTCATGTTTGCAATTTCAGTGACATGCCAGAGGACAGCATATTGTGAAACCAACCCTTTCCCTACTTTGCAGGACCCTTATAGCACATAGAAAATGCATGTTTATACTTGAAAAGTGGTATCCAGAATG